TTAAATCTTCAAAGTTAAAAACACGGTCATTCGGCTTTAAACCTGTGATGGCAGCGACGTCTAAGAGTGATGGAGTTATCATGCCATATTTTGTCTGGAAGGTGTTTGTCAATCCCTTCAAAAATTGTAACGCGACAAGCAACATACCACAGGAGTAAGGGGGACCACAACGAGAGATTTGCAAAAGGGTGTAAATTCCTAAATCTTTCCAATGATCAGCTTTCTCTACCTCTAAATGTTCCATCCAAGCACGAAATTTAGGGCAGTTTCGAGGAGGAGAAATTCTAAAGTTTCTATCAACATGGTGGAGAGATAGAGGTTATTCAAGGGAAACTAAAGGTCCAGTAACATTACTGCATGGAAAAAGGCATGTTAATCTAGAGAAACTATTGTTTCACCTTCTTCAAGAAGAGGACCTAGGAAGGCTAAAGGTTCACCAGCAAGAGAAAAAGGAATTAATACCTGAGATTTTTAGATTTTAGCCTTTTTTTCAGCATAGGGAGGTTCAGGAACATATTCTCTTCCATCAATGATGAGTGGATGTTGTAGTTTTGTATATTGAGGAATGCGTTTGGATGAACTCTCCATTAGAAATGAAGAAAGTGTTGAAGAAGATGAAGATTAAAAAGAAATGGGGTTTTCGTTATTTTAAGAAGAAGGTACGTTGAAGTGTTGGTGGTAGAAAGAAAGAGAAACCCTAACTTAAAAATGAAAACAAAAAACTTTTGAGTTCCTTTGATTTAACTTTTTAAGTTTGTGTGCCACATCTGAGGACACGTGATGACACAGGGTGAAAGACGGTGGGCCACGTCTCCCATTTAAAAGAGATAGTGGGTGAGTTGATAGGCACATGTCTCGAGGAAAATATGTGATACGTTAACATGATGGCATGACATCATAAAGAAGAGTAAATAGTAACGTCAACTAAGCAATGCAAAACTATTAAGTTTGTGATTGAAGGTGGTAGACAGTTAAGAGATGCCATTACCTTACATCTATCAAACTCGAAAATGGTATCTCTGGGGGGAATTTTGTTACCTTTAAAAATTTCTTTGAGGCATCTATTACATTGTTAGTAGGGAAACCCTATGAGCTGAAGGGAAAGTGCCTTCCAGAACTAGGAACTTTAAGAGGGCCATAGTCATGAAAATGATAGTTGAAGAGTTCTTATAAAAATCAAAGAAAAATCGATGAAGGAGGAAAGCAAGTAGTTTACAGAAGAGATAGCGAAATAGTCGAATTTATTTTTATCGACACAACTAGAATCCAAGACTTAGAGAATTTGGATTATTCATTCACAATAAAGGTTGATGTCGGAAGCAGAAATTATGGGCGGGATAGATTTTGAATTTTGAATACTACAGCGGTTACAAGAAGTTTTCTGAATCAAGGCGCCAACTACGTGGTTATGTCTTAAGAGGCAGTTTCTATTAGGCCATAAATGTGTCCACTTAGTATTTTATTTGAACTGCTTGTTCAGTTATTACGTAACTACTATAAATAAGAGGGTCCAATGTAGGATTCAGTGTGTTCAATTTGTAGTGAAATCACTTGTAAAACTTCATATTTCCAAGCATAAGGGCAAAAAGTTCAAAAGTGTAAATGTACATGAATCACCATATTTATTTCAATGCAAACTCCTTTCTTTTCAATTGTGTTCTTTAAATATTTTACTTGTATTTTGTTTACTTTTGAACAATCCTTTTACATTGGCAATTACTTTATTGAATCTCATTCTATCATAATACTTGAATTTACCGAGAATTCGCTCGACATTTACTTCGTCTAAGAGAAATCTTAGCCTTTTGTCGGTCACGAGTCACCTTCAGTCGATAAATTTGTAGCATATTTGTGGAAAACTTTTACTTGTTCTTTTTGTTTAGAGAAAACTGTTTCTCACAAAGGGCTTCGCATCGACAGAACAAGTCCCATTTTCGTTTCTATTAGCACATGTCTTAGGATTAACTAGTCAATCCTGTGAGTAACCCTTAATTTTAGACTTAAGGAGGACTAGAGGTTGTTTACCAATTTCCACAGTAAACACCTAGATCTTTCTCACTCCTTGCTTTCTCTTCTCTCTAAAATTCGATCGTATAGAATGATCACTTCAACCTCACTTTTTCCTTATGTCTTTCTTACCCCTTGGACCCTTATTAGGTTGTCTCATTCTTGCCCTCACTTATTCCACACAACATTACCATTATTCCATTAGTATCTCTACACCAAATATTATCCTTTTTAATTATTAAAATAATTATAAATAATTATAACTAATTATCCAATTTATTAATATTTCTAAGTATCTTATTAATCCAACACTATCCCACAACGTGCCATCAAACCATATATTGCATCAAATAAATCACAACATAATTGAATAATAAATATAATTTTCAGGGCATTACATTATCCTCTTAGGAGGTTGGAGTTACGATAGTCAATGATAGGTAGGAATCGAATCAACAGATTAACTTTTCAGCTTATTTTGATAATCACTTATTCACTCTGTTTTATAAATTGATCCTAAAACCAACCCCCCCCCCACCCAAATAAATTTTAGTTGGTTAATTCATACAAGAATCCTTGTGATACAACTCGAGCCATTGTCGCTATCTACCATTTTTAAAAATACTCGTTATGATCTGTGCGCAACAGCGGATCAGTCGTACCTTCTAAAAAATTGGCTGAGTAGTATCTTGTTGTCCCTTTATTATGAGGTATGTGTTGTCCTCCATAATCCTCGAAACTTCTTCAAGGTCGACATTAACTATAACTTCCTCTCCTTAAAGATTATGGTAAATGAGCTTGAGATGGACCGAAGATGCTACATTGTGCAAGGTAGTGCGAGGGGTCTTTCAAGAATGCAATTGTAAACGCTCCTGTAGGGAACTACAAGGAATTGCGAGCTAAAGGACCGAACGCCATTCCATTCTTTCACAGATATCCTTAATTTGGCGTACCCTCGTGGACGGGTTGTCGTACCGTTGCACGCCTATTGCTCTGAACCTTCGTATGACCAAAAAAATTCTCATTCGAGACACATCTTTCTCTGAGTCCTGGAACCCTATCATTGGTCGGTCATGGATTTTCATTGACGTGACTATATCCTCCTTATGGGCAAACAATATCTCTATGATCCTTCTTTTCATTGTTCCCTTGGATGAGAGGTTTGCTCGAGGTGTTCCTCTAGTGATAGCGACAATGTATTGGTGTTTCCCCTAACTAACCAATCTTTGTTGCTCTGCGAGAGTGAACTATGGAGTTATAGAACACCAAAGAATCTCATCTACCATGTGCTTCCAGATCTGATCAGCGGGTATCTGATAGTCTGATTGCGTTAGATTAGAAGTTATGTAGGGAATCCATCTTCTACGAGGTATTTTGTAAGCATTTTCACCTGTGATAGAGACGGTGCAGACCACTGGCAGCTCTGTAATAAAATCCATCTTCATTTCTTGACTTAACATCATTTTTTTATTCTAACGAGGTGTTCTAATAACGGATCACCGTTGGATTTGACAATGATGTGGGTCTTAATGGAGATGATTAAAGGCGGTAGAATAAAATAAGAATAACTTAATAATTTGCGTCGTGACAACGCATTAAGCGATTCGCAATGCTAATCACTACAATCATCGATAACTCTGCTTTCGAGATTTCGTTTACCTCATCGCGGTTTACGAATCTTGATACTATGTGATATTTGCTCATCGTTCGGTGATTATTCACTATATGGAGAAGGTACTTCAGTAACAGATCTATGCTGGAAGTTGTTACGGTCTGGATCTCATCGATGATAGACAATTGAAGAGATGTGAAATTGGAAGGTTAACCGGGGATCTTCGGTGTGATCTTAGAGGTAAACTGCCTTCGTTACTTGACGACTCTAGTAGAGACTCGAGCTTGCGTCGATGACGATCCATTCGTGGAATTTCTGCGAGAATTAGGAGTTGATTCCCACAAATGGCACCATTGTTCCTTCCTGGAACCACAATTACGTGTATGTCGACAGTGAAGAGTCCTGCACCAGTGGTATTGATCTTCGATAAAATGGTGCGGGAGCAGATCTGTAAGGTTAGCACTGCAACGCTCGTGTTAGTCCAAAATTCAAGATAAATATAATAAAAAGTGAATATCATAAGTGTACTTTAAAAATCTCGTGATATGACTTTATACCTTAGATCATTTGAAGTGGATTGACATCAATTTAAACTTTAACTCTTTGGGTCTTTAGCCGGTCAAGAACATAATTCAAAATCGAATTTATTATAAACTTTAACACAATTACATGTCTAAAATTGAATTCAAATCCAAAATCTCTAATTAAATTGAAAGAGATTTTTATTATCTCATTCAAGTGCTTTTAAATGGTTAAGAAACTATTTAAATTGCAACTAAATTATTTTATTAAATTACATTACATATTAATATCCATTTCATTCCAACTTTTTTATACATAAATGTATATTTGTTTATAAACTTTCAAGTAACTTCTAATTTATTTTTATGGAGAGACATGAAGCCATGTGGCAGAAATCGTTTAGTTAGTTGATAGAGAAAGAAACAAAGTACCACACTTTCTTCAATTTCAGTTTTCCTAAAAATTTGACCACTTACTTCCCACTCATTTCGCCCCTTCTCTCTCTTTCATTCATCTGCAATTCCTATCATGCTTTCTTTCATCAAAATGCATTTTTTTTCCACATCACTCTCAAACTTTATGCTAATCTCACAACCCCTTTTGACAAAATTTCACATTGTTTTACATTGATATGAAATTTTGTCACATTTGATTCCATCAGATACACAAGGGCTAGTGCTAGCAATACATTGCACACTTTTTGTTTATCTGTTTATCTTTGGATTCTCAATTTTTTCTGATATTGGAGATTTTGATGAGAGGCCGAAATCGAAAAAATATCTATCTATGGAGATTTTGATGCATTTTTTGTTTCTTGAGCTTTGTTGTTGGTGGTTTCATTTCAACTTTCTCAGATGGAATGGCAGATCCTGCTAGTAATGGAGGTCTTGATCGAGATATTGAACAAGTTGGTTTCACCTAACTTTTTCTATAAATTGATATATTCATCACATGCCAATTTTTCTTAACCTTGCATGTAGATAGTGATAGTGTAAATTATGATGTTGGTTTATGTTCCTTCATTTTCAAAATGTTATTGCAAGCATCATAAGGTTTATAGATTGCGGTCGCAATTGTAGTTATACTTAGATTGTGGTAAAATGTGTCCAATTCTGCCGAAATTGCAGTTATGATGCCATTGTAGACGACAATTTAAAACCATGATATGCATACACTTGTCGATATCCATGAGAAAACAAAACATTATTAGTTGAATGATTAAGAGTGAAGAAAGAAGATGAGAGTGATAGCATATGAACAGAGTCGTCTCAAACTTTTGAGAGATCTAGTGTAAGAAACTGAGGTTAGATTCACCGAGGAATATGTGTATGGAGGCCCTTTTTGTCATAGCTTAATCATGAAAAAGGGCGAGGCTTTGTGCTGTAAGCCGCCTTGCACACTCTCAAAACGACTCTCGATATAAAAAAGAAAAGCATAAGCATTTGCAAATTGGGATAGTATTGTGCCTTTCTTGATGAAAATTCATACTTTGGCTAATAATTAGAAATACTATTGGAAAATATAGCAAGAAAATAGTGATGTTTCATCATTGAAAATACTTATAGAAATGTTACATAATCTGATGATGTTATATCTTAGAGAAATGAAGGATTATATTTGCTTAGTTAGGTGCTTTACGAGCTAGAATTTGATGTCTATTTCATCACTTTTTTGAAGGCACTCACTATTTTGAAGAAAGGAACTCAAATAATAAAGTACAGCCGAAAAGCGAAGCCAAAAGTTTGCCCTTTCAGACTCTCCTTGGTGAGGTTTTACTTATGAGTTATGAATTGAATTTATCTCCACAGTTCTCGTTCGACTCAGATTATTCGATATTCAACGTGACTTCTAAATCTAGAACGAAAAAATCAGTGCCTCCGTTAAACATGTGTATGGTGGATTTTACTATCTCTAACTAATTTCATATTTAGTGGCATTAACAGGATGAAACAACACTGATTTGGATTTCTCATAAAAAGGAAAGGACTCTACAACTATCTTCGGTTTCACGCATTATTCCTGGACAAAGGACCGTAAGTTGAATGTTATTGTCGATGTTCATGGCCATTTTATCAATCTCTCGACGGTTTCTCATGTTTCTTACCACCATTTATTTGTAGGCTGTGTTTAGAAGATATTTGCAACAAGAAAAGGACTATCTATCATTTTCACTCGTTTATAATAACGGAGATCGAACACTTGATCTGGTTAGAAAACATATTGATATTGCGTTCGAATGATCTTAAATTTTATCAACATTTTGAATATAGTGATTTTTTTCTCTCTTATTTATAGATATGCAAGGACAAAGCTGAGGTAGAGGTGTGGTTTGCAGGGCTTAAACAATTAATTTCCAACGGAAGGCATAAAAGGCTTTCTAGGAGTCAATCATCATATGTGAGTTTTAACATGAATTCGTTGAATGATTATTTATCCGATGAAATCAAGTTTTTGAAGATGTTTCTATTTATATGATGATTCTAGGAAAGTGAATGACATAGATTTGTTATTGAACTTAGTGATCAGTATTTACTAGTCTATAAATTTCGGTTACAGGATGGTGTTGGTTTTATTCCAAACGTTCGCCCTTTTGGTGCAGCATTAGAGTTATCTACAAGCCTTTCTCGCGGTAGGATCTCAACCAGCTCAACTGATTCAGGTCCTCGTGAGTCTTCATTGTGTTGGGGGAACCCGGATGTGGGGTTAGATCGTACAAATATGAATGCAAGGACAAGTATTGGAGATGGTTTTCGGGTTAGTGTGTCGAGTACACCTAGCTGTTCGAGTGGAGGATCAGGACCTGATGACATAGAGTCATTAGGAGATGTTTATATATGGGGAGAAGTTTGGGCGGATGCAGTTTCGCCAGACGGAAGTGTCACTCATCTCCCTTCCACCACAGATGTATTGGTTCCTAAGCCTTTAGAGTCAAGTGTTGTTCTTGATGTTCAACAGATTGCATCCGGTGTGCGTCACATGGCTTTAGTTACTAGGCAAGGAGAAGTTTTCACTTGGGGAGAGGAATCTGGCGGAAGACTTGGTCACGGATTGGATAAAGATTTTGGCCGACCTCAACTTGTTGAGTTTCTATCAGTTACTAGTGTGGAGAGTGTTGCGTGCGGAGAGAATCATACATGTGCTGTATCTCTATCGGACGATCTATTCTCATGGGGTGATGGTACGTATAACGTTGGAATTCTCGGACACGGAACCGATGTTAGCCATTGGATACCAAAGAGGATTAGTGGTCCTTTGGAAGGACTTCAAGTTATATCGATTGCATGTGGTACATGGCATTCAGCATTGGCAACTTCTAATGGAAAACTTTTCACCTTTGGCGATGGAACATTTGGCGTGTTAGGTCATGGAAATAGAGAGAGTGTGTCATATCCGAAAGAGGTACAATTGTTAAGTGGTTTGAAGACTATTAAGGTTGCATGTGGAGTATGGCATACTGCAGCTATTGTAGAGGTTACTTTTCAATCAGGTTCGAATGTTTCCTCACGAAAGCTCTTCACTTGGGGAGACGGCGACAAAAATCGTTTAGGACATGGAAACAAGGAAACATACCTTCAACCTACTTGTGTTTCAACGCTCATCGAATATAATTTTCACCAGATTGCGTGTGGACATACTATGACTATAGCTCTCACTACTTCCGGACATTTATTTACTGTGGGAGGAACTGAATTTGGTCAGCTAGGAAATTCTTTATCAGATGGAAAAATACCGATACTTGTACAAGACTCATTGGTGGGTGAGTTTGTCGAGGAAATATCATGTGGAGCACATCATGTCGCTGCTTTGACATCGAGGAGTGAATTATTTACTTGGGGTAAAGGTGCGAATGGAAGATTAGGACAAGGAGATATAGACGATAGAAAGTCACCGACAATGGTGGAAGCCTTGAAAGAAAGGCATGTCAAAAACATTTCTTGCGGCTCAAGTTTCACTTCTTGCATATGCATTCATAAATGGGTATCTGGAGTTGACCAATCTGCTTGCACCGGTTGTAGACAACCGTTTGGTTTTACTAGAAAAAGACATAATTGTTATAACTGCGGATTAGTACATTGTCATGGTTGTAGCTCGAGAAAAGTTTTGAAAGCTGCATTGGCTCCCACGCCAGGAAAGCCTCATCGTGTATGTGATTCTTGCTATGCTAAGCTTAAAGCGATCGAGTTAAATGCGGCTTCCAGTCTTAATAGAAAAGTTACTACTACACAACCTCGCAATTCTATCGATGGAAGGGATAGATACGGCCAAGGAGAAATAGTAAGATCTACGAAAATTCTTTTTCCTCCTTTCTCAGAACCATTCAAATATCTTGAAATGAGGACTAATAATAAGCTCGGAAATTCTTCCATGCTGCCACCTTCTCAAATTCCATCTATCACACAAATGAAAGAAATGGCATTTCCAAGTTCAGCAGCAGGTTCCATTCAAAATAGTATGAAGCTTGCGATAGCTCCAGCTCCACCGTCAACTCCACCTCTCAACTCGAGATCAGTATCACCGTATGCGAGAAGGCCAAGTCCGCCGCGTTCTAACAGTCCAGGATTTTCAAGAAGTCTTATCGAAAGTTTGAAGAAGACAAACGAACTATTGAACCAAGAAGTGTCGAAATTGCAGAACCAAGTAGATTCATTTACTACACTTTTTTGCTTTCTTTCGTGTATGCGTAATTCTCTTACGAGACTCTCTATTGATAAGTTTATAAAAACTCTTTTAATATAGAATCGGAGTTTGAAGCAAAAAAGCGACATGGAAATTCAGAAACTACAGAAAAACATTAAGGATGCCGCGTTATTAGCTGCAGAAGAATCTTCTAAACACAAAGCAGCGAAAGAATTTTTCGAGTCCATGGTAACTCAGGTATCTTCATTTTTTCAAAATATTTTCAGAAGTTATTCGGGAGTTTCTTGTTGGATACGTTAACTAAGTAACTGGCTAATGATTTTTCGCAGTTGAAGGAAATGACCGAGCAACTGCCACCAGAAGTTTTAGAGAGCGAAAAATTTAGTAACATGGTTGTTCAGGCTGAGAATTTTCTAGAAGAAAATCCGAAATCCGTAACATGTCCGGTACCAAGAAACTTGGAATCGAAGAAACAAAGTGAACGCGTAATAGAAGAAAATAACGATGAAGCTGCAGAAGTTAATCCGTCTCAGGATGCAGGAGATGTTTTTCAAGAAAGCAACGGATCGTCTTTGTCTAATACCGAAGCAACAGTGGCACCACCACAAAGCTCTGAAAATGATTCAAAATCATTGAACTCTTCAAGATCAGTGAGAGAAGGAGAATCACAAATCATCGAACAATTTGAACCTGGCGTTTACGTGACACTGATAGTAAAGCCTAACGGTAACAGAGTTTTCAAACGTGTTCGATTCAGGTATTACAGTTATTTCTTATTGATTACAGAAATAACTTATATATATGCTGGTACCGTTATAGTTATAATGTTTGATTTTAATGCAGTAAACGAAGGTTTCGTGAAGATCAAGCAGAACAATGGTGGAACGAGAACAAAGAAAGGGTGCTTGACAGATACAATCCACATGCAACAAGTTATAAAGATGTAGCGCCGTCGAGCAGTACCCTGCCACAGCCTGCGGTTTCTGAAAATGAAGCATCGTCGAGCAGTACCGTGCAACCACCGGCTGAAGAAAACATTGAGGCAGCACCTTCATAAACATAAATCATAGTCTTCATAGACATCATGTTAGTGTTAATTTGATGAAATGATGAAGTACATAAACATGGTTTAATTACAAAGAGTAGTAAAATTTATATGATTTAATCTCATCAATTTCGTAGTTTTGATGTATTCTACAACACAACATGGATAATCATGTATAGGAAAATACTAGATATAGGAAAATTAATGTGTATCTTTTTTTTTTAAATCAAAGAGATTTGTTGTTTATAACAATGTTATGTTAATGCCCCAAATTTTGAGTTTGTTGTATTTCATACGCTAGACGTTGAAAATGTAATTGATTGTATTAGGTAGAATCCCATAGTATCCATAGTTCTAAATGTCTGCCCCAATGCACATTTTGGCTGTTACGGTCTATATTGCGGTTGGAAGGGTGATTTTAAATTATGTTGTAATTGCGGTCCGATGTTGTGGTGGAAGTTACCACATTAATAAAATATTGTAGCTCTTGTTTCGTTTCATGGGCGAAGTTGTTTGATGTGGTTCATAATTCGGTCGGACATCTTGTTTTAAATCAAACTGCAATTGCAATCTAATGCTATTGCAGAAACTACTGCTCAGAAATATTGTGGCGGGATTGTGGGTATCAAAAATATTGTGACGGGGTTGGGGACCTGGTTTTAAATCAAACTGCATTTGTAGCATCAGAAATATTGTGGCGGGATTGCAGGCTATTAGTGCATGAGATACTTTGGTTAGGAGAGAAAGATTAAATAATAAAGGAAATAAGGATTTATATTATTGAATTGTATAAATAATAATACAGACTAAGTCTATTTTTATACGATCCTAATTGGGCTTGAGTCTACCCAACTTGAATTATATTTAAATATTAAATTTAATCTAATCTAATCTAATATAATATTTTAACAAATTTAATTTAATATTTCAACACACTCTCATAACCTAAGTTGTCGAACATCCTCAAAAATAGTTAATCTGAATTATTCCTAATTTCTTTCTCAAACTCAGGAATTTGTCAATCTTCAATTCTTTGGTGAAAATGTCGGTCAACTGTGCTTCACTCGAGCAATGTCTTACTTCAAGTTCACCTCGATTTACCTTTTCCCTCAAGAAGTGAAACATTGCTTCAATATGTTTACTTCTTCCATGCAGAACTGGATTCTTCTTCAAATTTCTGGCTGACTTGTTGTCGATTTGCAATACAAGAGGTTTCTTCAATTCGACCTTTATTTCTTCAAGTACAGACCTGATCCAAATTGCTTGACATGCAGCATAGAATCCTACTATATATTCAGCTTCACAAGATGATAATGCCACAACAGGTTGTTTCTTCGAACACCATAAGATTGGGACACCAAATACTTGAAAGAAATATCCAGTTGTGCTTCTTCGATCTTCGTTATCTCCACACCAATCAACATCTAAAAAACAATTAATTATTACTTCTTTGTCTTCAGAATCTCGTCGAAATAATATTCCACAGTTTATCAAACCCTTCAAATATCTCAGAATTCTTCTTGCAACCTTCATATGGGACACTCTTGATTCACTCATATATCTTCTTACTAATCCTACAGCGAAACTTATATCAGGTCGACTGTTGCACACATACCTCAGAGATCCCATAATTTGCTTGAACAAAGTTACATCGACTTTGTCTTCCTCTACATTCTTCTCCAATTTTACATTTGGTTCGACAGGTGAGGATGCAGGATTCAAATCATCCATTTTGAATCTCTTGAGTATTTCTTTGACATACTTCATTTAATGTAGCATCATACCTTGCTTCGACATTTGAAATTTCATACCTAAGAAATAAGACAATTCTCCCAGATCATACATTTCAATTCCTTCATCATCAGCTCCTTGAACTTTGACAAGTTCTCCAAGCTATTTCCAGTCACTAGCAAGTCATCGACATATAAGCAGATGATTGTTATATCTTGTGCTATAATTTGAACATAGACACCATACTCAGATTTTCATTTGACAAATCCCAATTCGACTATGTTGTACCCCAAAATTTGCCCTCCCATATTCCTCAAGATATGTCAAGAATCATCTCCAAATGGTTCAAGATTGCTCAAGAGTTAGACAGTCAAACCATCTCCTAAGCAGTAGACAGCTGAAATTAGGGTTTTGGTTCTTTCAAGGAATTTGGGGTTTTCAATAGTTCAATCAAGTCTCATAGGCCTATATACATTCTCAAGCACCTACATGCCAAGTTTCAAGATTCACAGTGCCAGTTTGCACAGTCAAAAGCCCCATTTTATCTACAGTCAACTGCAAGGGCAAAATGGTCATTTTGCAGTCAAAAGTCAGAATTCTTGGTCAACATCTTATTTTGAGTTCACAATCATCATTTGATCAAGTCTTGATCATGATCCCACAAGAATAGCTCAAAAATCATCAAGATGTAAAAGTTACTATTTTTGGACAGTAGAAAAGTCAACTATACTTTGACAAGGGCATAACTCTTTCATGGTTTATCAGAAAAATACCATCCAAATCTCATTTTGAAGAGGATGCAATTTCCTACAATCCATCTTCACACCCCAAGATCAAGAAATGCACTCACAAAAGGTTACAAATTTTTACATTATAGGTCAATTTCAAAAGTCAACAAAAGTACACTTTGAGTCAAAGGCCATAACTTGATATTGGTAAATCCAAATGACATGGGACAAAAGCATTGGTTAGAGGACTTCAAGGGCTTTCCAAAATGTCTAAGAACATGGTCATATAATCAAAATTGAGCAAGTTATGCATTGGAGAAGTTGGGCAATTTTCATGAATTTGCAAAAGTCAACTTTACTCAAAACACCTTCTTTTTGCTAATGGGCTTCAAATCTCTCTTTGAAACTTCACCCATGACCTATGCACGACCCACCAAGTTAAATTGGATTTATTTTCTTAAATTTATTGATTAAATGGATTTTTAATACATATTAATTCATTTAATTAATTTAAATTATAAGAAAATAAAAGATTTGATTCTTAAACCTATTTGTGAACCAAATATGATCCAAATATGCTGACCAATTCGTGCACAAGCTAAAAGATACAAAAATATCCAATTTTGGCAACTTGTTCAATCATGAAAAATCAAGAATATTTGATTTATCAATCAAAGATTCAATCTTCAATGCACATGGGTATGGGTCCAAATTTTGACCTAAACGGATTCTCTTATATGCAAGCAAGCCAAGCATAACCTAATACACGAGAAAAAACTGCAGAAACGGCCATTCTAATTTCAAGAAATTTCAAGAAAAATCAAAACTTTTTCTTGCAATCTAGGCCAATTCAAGGTGCCTTGTCCATCCAAACTCATTGCAGGAAGTACCATGAGTGATTTGCAATCAAATTCAAGCACTAAAGCTCAAGGAATCACAAAATACCATCTCACGGTTTGCACTTCTAATTCAGAATTGTATCTCTTAATTCATATGCATTTAACATGTTTTTGTGATTGATTTGCGTTGCTAGAGATTATACAAAGCTAATGGAATGAATTAATTGAACCATAGAGCCCTAAACCGAGAGATGCCATGATCGAGTTTCTAGGGTTTTCAAGCTCTCAAATAGGGCTTTCCAAACCAGGAAAAATTGGAACCAATGGGATACATGGTTGAATTCGTGAGACCAAGACGATTCCAACACATACCTCGCGAAATATTTCTTTTTGCTTTGTGTCTATTCGCTATTTTTCGTGCAGGAGATAGTGGAGGTTAAAAACCCTCACTATCTGATTCTATTTTTTACAGGACCAAGGTTGAAGATGATGACATGTTGTCATCTAGTTCGTCTATTTGAATTACGCGCTTTTTTTTATAATTCCAGGCATAGGTGTTTGTTTGACATATATTAATTGTTGTGTATCATAATAATAAAAAAGATGCAGGTGGTTGAGTGGTTGGGACACTGGCCAATGAGTATTGGGATCTGGGTTCGAATCCCAGGTCCCCCAAAAATGCTTATTATTATTTTCTTGCATATATTACAATGGATTTCCAGGTATGAAGACCACCATACGCCTCAGAGATCAACACGCCAAGTGGCTTCAGGCCAAGATCCAGTGGCCAAAGTTGAAGGACCACCATACTCCCTGGTCAACATACGCGGGGATAATTTGAAAAGTCAAACGAGGCTGGAATATTAATGGGCTTCAGAATTGCTCTTGTCACTCCCAAATCAGGCCCAACACCCCCTTCATGAGTTTATTTCTTTTCCTTCCTTTTTTTATTTTTTCTTTCATTTAATTATTTTTATTATTATTATTTTAATTAACAAATTAACCTTTTTTTTATAAAAAAATTCAGAAAACATAAAAAATATATAATATTTTTATTTATTAAATTTAATTAGTTTATTTTGTAAATAAATATTAACATAATTTGTTTAGTTTCTAATTAGGCATAATATTAATATTTTTGTAATAAATTAAAATCAATGTAGAATTAGGTTTTTTTAATATATTTAATCATTTTATTTTTTATTTCCTTAAACATTCAAAAAACCAAAAATATTTCTCTTTTTATTTAATTAATTAATTAGTTTAGGTTTAATTTAATTAAATGCAAGAAATAACAAAAAAAAATCTCTTTCTTTCCTAAAAAAGGGCCAAAACCCAAAAAACTCTCCGATTCAATTTTTCTCGTGCGTATTACTTTTTGATCCATATAATTGTATTTGCTCCGATGATGTAATAGTTTTGGACTTAGGATTATTTATCGCTTTCATTTTATTTTCCGCAATTTACTTTTCAAGGGTTTGTTTTTGGCGATGTAAATACCCGACGTCTTGTAATAGCTTAGTTTTATTTTCCGCAACTATTAACTACTAGATGTATGAATAATAGGCTATGCATGACAAGATCTACCTTAACTTAAAATCAACCGTAGCTCACCATAACATGTACAAAGATAACATAACTGAAAATTGACACATTTGCACATGCCACTCCTAAGGTACGCCTCACTTGGTTGCCTCGAACGTGGTCATTGAGT